AGAGCCAGCATTAGCAGTCACACCTACACTCTTCACTCCACATAAAAACAGCAGAAAACCACAAGGCTCTATAATGATTTCATCCTAAATATTTATTGATACTGACTCATTTTTAATTTCTTCAATGTTTTCTTGTAGCCAATATTTAGCTAGATTTTAGCTTAAGGGATCAAAATAAACATCAGCCATCTTTAATTCATCTTCACACAGCAATCCTTCAGTTCATGCAGCTGCCATCAGAATGACTCATATCTCAGATGATCTCAGATTCAGCCAGAAAGGAGCGGGATTAATATTTACTAATTACAAATAAACTCTCTTAATCTCTCACACACACACACACACACACAAAGCTTGCTAATATAGTACAGTAAGAATCCCAATGCATTTGTTGCACATGGCCTATAAAAGCTACCTTGAATCCTGCGCAGCCAGGACATTTCCAATTCCAGGTGTATTGTATGATTGGAAAACTAGTGTATAAATGTCCAGGTTTTCCAGAATCCCTTGAAAGCAGTCTTGGAAGCAAATCAGGATTTATAAGTGAAGTATACAGCCTTACTCATTGCGGCTGGTGAAGTATAAAACAACAGTAAAGTTTAAATTATTCGCTCACTCTCACAAAACACCACATCAAAAGAAAAAAAGCTAATGGTCCTGAGCCTGGTTAATCTCTGTTCTTTACAGGATTATCTTTCAACATAACATTCCTATAAACACCTGATCTCCAGAAATCCAGAGGACTTTCAGCTCAGAGTCTCTGCTTTTGTCTCCACTTCATTTGAACCACTCTAGGAAAATGACATACTATTAACCACATGGAAAGTGGCCTTGGAGCAAATGACAGATAATAACAGAGCGTAGCTAATGCACAAACCTAATACTGAAGTCGCTTTAAGTGTAAAATCACGCCACCACTGGAACACACTGGAACACTCGAGTGTCCTGTAGAGAAGATACAGGTTTAGGAGACCCCCAGCTAAGACCCCCTGACTGGTGTGCGAGTCATTTGTAAGTGGGCTAGGGCTAAACCCCATAATTATTCCCCTTATGTGAGACGAGGGTCCTCAGCATTAATAATGCAGCTCTCACTGGCAGCAGGCTTTGGAGATTAATACAGCTCTTATCAACCGAGCTACTGAAGGCTTCTCTGTTCTTTCTATGGTGAACGCAGACTACAAAATAAAATGTCAACTCAACTGAATTTTTAATATTCTCCAGACACACTGTCCAGGTAGGTGGGACCCCCGTGATGGACAGTGCCTGTCTGCTTAAAGCTTCCTAATCCTGTCTCCCCTCTCTAGCCCAACACACACACACACACACACACACACAGCTTCCTTCTCTCCTCCAGCTGAGATATGAAGAGGGAAGTGAGAGAAGACCTGTTTCCTGTCTGTGTGTGTTTCTGTGTGAAGAGAAGTGCTGTCTCTTCAGATTAACTCCACTCTGCTTAAAATACTTAAGCTAAATTTAAGGAAGCTTATCAAAGTCATGCAGCTAAATCTAAGTGTGAACAGGAGAGACTTAAACTGATAAGATAATAATCAAGCAAATACACATGGGACTGATGATTTGTGCAAAAGGCTAAAACCGACGTGTGTGAGAACAGGTTGAGGACAGACTGTCTTGGAGACTGCGTGAAACAAAGAAAAACAGAAAAACAAAGACAGAAGGGTTTTGCTGGCTGTAAAAGTGGTTGATGATGGATGTGTGTGGTAACTCACACCTGTTAAGGATGCCTGGAGGATTTAAGCAGCTCCCACCCCCATTCTCTCAGCATCCACACACACACACACACACACACACCCTAACACATGCTGAAACCGCCAGAGCACTGAATTCATCTGCATTTATACAATGCTATTTTCTCCTCACTTGCACTGTCGAGACGTACAGCTGTGTATGTGTGTGGGCTGGTTCAAACAAGACAACATCATGTGCACGTTCAGGAGGGTCCCATCTGCCAGGAGCGAAAGTACAGTGATAAAAGAATGCACAAAAAAAAAAAAAAAAACTCCAAAAGGGAAGCAAACTAGAAAAATGCCAAATCCACACCTGAGTGGAGTGAGGCATGTAAAGTAGTTCTCCCGGAAGCTTCTATCATATAAACCATACCCTCATTTAATGACATGCATTTGTAATGTTGAAAAAATAAATAAAATGCACACATTGTATATTTTAATCGATTTGGTCTAGAGCACACTGAACCCACTTTTTTCCATTTTCATATCGATATAAGAGCTCCGAGGATTGGCTCATACCCGAATATTGATCTGATACTGACACTTTCACAGTAAACAAACTGTTGCCAAGTCATGTGAGGCACAAATGCTTTGTATTTTCAAATGATTTGCGTCCTATGTTAAATACCAGAGCTGTGTTATGTCACTCAATGTCACTGAATCACGTATGTCAAATCCTGAGTGGTGCAACAAAAAAAGCATTCACCATAATGTCAGTAGATCACGAGTTCAAATCCTGTCGATTTCACAGCCGTCTGTGGCTGGGAGTCTAGAGAGTGAAACTGGTGGTGTCTCTGGATGGGAGGGATGATATTGCTCTCTCGCCTGTCAATCAGAGCAGCACTAACCAATCGTAGGCATCTGTGAGCTCATGTGTATGGAAGAGGGCCGATAGCTCTTTCCTCCAGGAGTGTTAAGCTGCCCTGTGATGTAGCATGAGCAGAAGTCCAAAAAGATGCTGCTGGCTGGCTGACTTCTGAGAGGAAGCAAGACGTGTCAGCCTTCACCCTCCCCAGTTGGTATCTGTCATGTGACAGTGAAGAGCTTACTAGAGAGTGAGAATTAGCAAATGATTAAATTGGGAGAAACAGGGGGATGGGTGGGAAATCCCATCATGTCAGATTACAAACCAGTGTCAGGCCTGATACAAATACTCAGTATGAGATCAGTGGGTCCTACGTCTGGCAGGCTTTTACAAGGAAAAGGTTTCATGTTTTATATGTTTTAATAAGATTCTGATTTATGATGATGAACAGGATGGTATTTAGGTCTGTACCATTATAACGTTATCTAGACAATAATGCCACATTATTCCCAAGTGGTGTGCATTTTGTGAAATACTGTATGCTACAGAATTTTTGGGTCACCTACTTATTAAAGAACAAACATCCAGTGTTCACTGCATTTCTAAAGTGGCTGAATAAATTACTGAAGGTAAAGGGCAAACCTCTTAGAAATGTTCTAGCAGGTTCCCTAACTAATATTGAACATTAGAAGTGCTATATGTCATTTAACGTCATCCTGTATGTAAATATGATGCAAGTTAATGACTGTATTGTAATATTGTATTGAATGTAATCAATACACTAAGATATCACAGGAATCATCTTTTTATAACACTGACGACTATATTATTAATTACAGTAAGAAGCAGCCGATGATGTGTTAAAATAGTTTCTGTGGACTGAATGTTTCATTTTACTTCCTTTTGCAGGTGTTAAATACAAATTTCATTGATATCATAGTAGTCTATTGCTTTTTTTTTTTTTTTTTTTTTTCTCAAATGCAGCACTACCATTTTCCTGGCATGAACCTAAACATGGATATGCATCATATACTGTGAAAGTATCTTCATATGACATTTTTGACTCTACCTTCACACTAGGTTGGATGGTTAGGAATTGAAGATGTATCTTTTCTACTTTGGATCTCTGATCATGTATCACCTTGGAAGGAGAAATACACTCCTCTAGCACACATGCATTAAACATGAGAAACTACCATGACATTCAAGGAGGTCAGGTACCAAATCACCAGGTGTGAATGTAGACAGCCTGACTCAGACACTCATACACTAAAGCACTAAACATGCATTTCTAGCAATGTCAAATCAATAAACTTAAAATAAAATTTTCTTCATTATAGGTTCGATTCCTCTCATGCTGTATGTTCAATGAGAGATGAAGCTAATTGAGCACAAAAGCACAAATATATTTTTTTTAATAAAAGGGTGCCAATAATTCTGGAGCTGACTGCAATTAAAGTGCAGCACCAGATTGCAGGAAGCTGTTTGCGCTCCCACACCATCATTATAAGGAATCAAAGGAGAGGCCTGCAACGCGGGATTCTTTTCATGCTGCACCTTCAAAAGGAGCGTCCACAGTCGCACGTGACAGCGCAGCTGAGATTGAGAAGCGAGATAAAGAGAGAGCGATAGGGAGGCAGAGAGGGGTGCAGATCACGCACTCAGCTCATCCTCTCCAGGTGCACACATGTCAGCAGAGGTGAGATGAGATAGAGAAAAAGCACATCTCCAAGGTCCAGCTTTCTTTTCTTCTTTCTCAGTGAGGAGACACTGATAGACGTCTCTTTGTCCGGCTATAATAACGGTCCTGCTGAGGCGATGTGACGTGACTGGACAAAGACTGAAGAAGATTATAATAAAGTGGACTTAAAGGGAAAATCCATGCTGAATGGATTGTGCAGAAG